GTTACGATTTTCATTAACAGCTTATTTCTCAGAATAGAATCTAATGACAAATAGTAGATCTCGATAGTGTAATAAGAAGACGAAGATTATCAGATTCAAATGACCCGATAAAAGTAGAGGATAAACATCCAACATCCTCTATTTCCAAATATATGATCGAAGCAGGTCATAAGATTGATCTTAACTCGGCTTTTGTTCTGTTATCAGAAGGGTTTTTGTGGAGATTTCAGTAATTTTACAGTTGGAATCATTAGTTAATTGAAGCTAGATAACCATTGAAAACCTGGAAGCATTGGACGGTTGTTTCGTCCTATTGTGGGACTCCTCAGCAGGACGTATACTAAGGTTTATTGAAGCCTTAGATATACGAAAATTCAAACTCCCCCCCCCCTTATGTATCGAAAAACGAGTTTGTTCTCCCCCGTAAACCTACCCTTGTAATGTTAGCTTATTATCCACAGTGATTAGGTTTCATATTGTTTTCACATTATTATTAGTAGTATTATCCTTGTCTCCTCTTATCCCCCATTTCCAGCCTAGTTGATCTTTCATTTTTATCTATAAATGTTCTTAACGAGCATCTTATGTGTGTGATCAAATTGTTCAAAATTTATTGCGCTAATATATCACATAGTTCTGATAATCTTCGTCTTCTCATTACATTATCGAAATTTATCAAAGGGACTAATTGCTTTAAATAGTAGATCGTTTTTGAGGTTTGTTCTCGGATGAACTTAAATCAAATGGTAAGCAAAAGTGAATAGTGGCTAGCAGTAGAATCCAGGATGAGCGTCACTTCGTCCTAGTTTGGACTCGTCAACTGCATTTACCTGCATCTCAGAGTTGATGTTCACTGTGGAACTCGAACCCAGTATCAGTTGCCAGCCACTATCTACCTTTGCTTATTATGCTTGTGAATTATGGCTATATTGAGGCAATACACATAGTATGCACATATACCAATTAGAGACTGACCAGTTGCAGTCCTAACAAATCGATGGGAAGATTCAAACAAACAATACTAAGTGAATTTAAATCAAATGGAAAATCATTGTTAACTACGACGACTTAAACAGCTATTCCTTGATAGCTCGTCAGTAGTGATTACTAATAAACTCAGATGCAATCGAACCTAATGAATTCAAACCTCATGACGAGCTCAATATCATCAGACCTATAAGATTAGAAACCCATTCTGTAGTAGATTCATATTCCGAAAATATAAAAGACAATGGTGGATGTGTTACTCACTTTAGTGAAGCGGTTGAAGTTAGATATTGACAACGTTGAATTCCGGTAGGCTCAGTAATCTACAGGTTAAGCGCTCGCTCGCGATACTGATAGGTCCTGGGTTAGAATATTGCGTGGAAGGATCGTAGATGAGCACTGCTGAGTAGTCCCATAACAGGACGAAACGGTCGTCCAGTGATTCCAGGTTTTCCATGGTCATCTAGCTTCAATTGACTCATGATGTCAACTATAAAATTACTAAAATCTCCACATAACCCCCTTCTGATTTTGTGTTAATATTAAATTTCTTCATGTTCTACACTTTAGCTACATGCAAATATCTGTGTATATATAATGCTTTTACATAGATGATTAATATCTATTCACTTTAAATATCAAAATTATCAGTTAGGTAGTTCTCTATAAGTATGTTGTACAAGATGTTACAGATCTCTAGTACTATTTACTTACGCCTGTTACTCCCAATGGAGCATAGGCCGCCGACCAGCATTCTCCAACCCACTTTGTTCTGGGCTTTCTTTTCTAGTTCTATCCAGTTTTTGTCCATTCTTTTCATGTCTGTCTCTAATTCTCGACATAATGTGTCCTTTGGTCTTCCTCTTCTCCTTTGTCCTTCAGGATTATATGTGACGGCTTGTCTTGTGACGCAGTTGGGTGCTTTTCTCAATGTGTGTCCTATCCACTTCCAGCGCTTTTTCCTTATTTCTACCTCTACTGAAATCTGGTATGTTCCTAGTACTACTTAGATTTGCATGAATTTACTGAAATTTCCTTTTAACCTGTACTGATAAAAGATAGACAACAAAGAATGTTGTTAGTATTGGTTGAAGTGACACTTATTAGCTTTGCTTCAAATTTCATTTGTCTATCTACAACCACTACAAGATCCATTATTCAACCTGTTAATACTTCAACATAACCATCATTTTTCACAGTTGAAATCATGAGTCAATTGAACCTTGACCACCATCAAAAACCTGGAAGCACTGGAAGGCCGTTTCGTCCTATTATGGGACTCTTCAACAGTGCACATCCACGATCCCGCCCACGGGATTCGAACTCAGGACCCACCGGTCTCGAGCCAGAGCCCATGATTGACTCATGATTTCAACTGTGAAAATACTATATTCTCCACAAAACCCCCCTCTGATCTATAACCATCTTTTGCCAAGTTCATTAGAGGCAAAGAGAATGTCAGCACTATACGAGTTGTTGAATGATGCTTATTGATATGAAATGTCTAGTTTCCTTATTCAACTTGCTATTTCTTCAATATATCTCCTTGATATCAGGATATTGATAATGATAATTTAGTGTACTATTGATAAAGGTCAGTAATGACAACACATAAAACTGAATCTATCTACATCGTAATACATAATGTCAGTCGAAATGCTATAAATTATTTTTCTATCCTTCACTTTTAGCTATCGATATAAAAGGATGGATCATTAGGTGGTGATCAATGTCATGTATTTCAAGTCTTTCTTAGTGTAGATTGAATCCAATCGACCAATTTACAATGTGGCTACTAGTCTAAGTGACTTGACATGGTGTGCACTATGTTGAAATAAGATGGTAGTTGGATAGGATTCGATCTACACTAAGAAGGACCTGATATATATGACATTGATCACCACTCAGTACTTAGTCAAATGTAAATACATCTCAATTATACAGGGGGTCACTCACAGCCCGAATATCCCAATGTTAATGTCTCTGACTATGAAGCTGACTGATACGAGATCGAATCCGTCAGGGAACATCAGTTCCCTCAAATTTCAAGTACACCTCACAATTGATTGATCACTGGGTGGTGATCAATATCATGCGTGTCAAGTGAATACATCTCAGTCCTACAGGAGGTCGGTCGCGGCCCGAATAGCACAGTGGTAACGTCTCTGACTGTGAGGCTGATTGTCGTGAGGTCGAATCCGTCAAGGAGTACCAGTTCCCTCAAGATTACAGGTATATTTTTCTGACGAATACCAAGTAGTATGAAATCTAGTTTCAAGCTTTCCTGTCGACTATCTTCAATCACTATTTTAGAAGAAAAGAATGATCTGATCATTCTTTGTTCATTGATGTGCCCAGTTATAGTTACGAATTCAGCAATTATTCACACATTTACATAGATATATACTTACATAGATTTGAACATACAAACAAAGCTTACATATATCTAAATGTATGTAGGTTTACAGAATTTTGTTTTAGTACAGACAATATACCCTTCTAAGTACAAATGAATGTGTATTGTGTACATTACAGTAAACGTACTTTCACTTGTAATAAAGAAAAACCTAAGGTATGTATAGAATAGATTTGTATAAATAATGAACTTGACAAGGACTTGTCTTTTATAATGATAATAATAATAATAATAATCAAGGTTTCTCTTCAGATCATTTTTGAGGGTTATTGAAGAAATCTTCTACCAACCACTCTCTCTCTCTCTCTCGCACTCTTTCTCCCTATCCCCCTCACTCTCACTCTCTACCTTTATGTATATGTTTTATTTGTTCAGTATTGTTATTAGCAGTTATTCTATGAATAAATCTCCTACCATCCATTCTTTCTCTTTCTTTCTCCTTCTCACTCATTCTTTCACCCTGTCCCCCTCACTCTCACTCTCTCCCTTTATGTATATGTTTTGTTTGTTCAGTATTGTTACTAACAGTTTTAAAAATTTGGCATTTACACCAAAAAATGAAGAAATGAATTGTTTTCAGTAAGAAGGAATTATTTTTTTATATTCTATCTATCTATCTATCTATCTATCTATCTATCTATCTATCTATCTATCTATCTATCTATCTATCTATCTATCTATCTATCTATCTATCTATCTATCTATCTATCTATCTATCTATCTATCTATCTATCTATCTATCTATCCATCTATCTATCTATCTATCTATCTATCTATCTATCTATCTATCTATCTATCTATCTATCTATCTATCTATCTATCTATCTATCTATCTATCCATCTATCTATCTATCTATCTATCTATCTATCTATCTATCCATCTATCTATCTATCTATCTATCTATCTATCTATCTATCCATCTATTCATCCATTCAGTTAACCATCTATCTATTTATATATTTGATCACTTATTCATTGAATTATCCATCATTTTATCAATGTACTTATCTAATTAAATAGATTTGTTATTGCTTTAAGTCTATATAGTTTTCTTTAACTTTTCAGTAATTTAATAATTATCTGAAAGGGGTTTTGTGGAGATTTTAGTTGAGATCATGAGTCAATTGAAACTAGACCACCATGAAAAACCTGAGAGCACTGGACGGCCATTTCGTCCTATCGTGGGACTCCTCAGTAGTGCACATCCACGATCTCGCCTCGTGAGATTTGAACCCAAGATCTACTAGTCTTGCACCAAAGCACTTAACCTATAGACCACTGAGCCGTCATCCATAGGTATTAGTTTTAATGTACACTGCTGAGGCGTCCTGCAATAAGACGAAACGGCCATCCAGTGCTTCTAGGTCTTTCATGGTGATCTAGCTTTAATTGACTCATGAATTCAACTATTAAATTATTATAATCTCCAACAAAACCCCACTTTCTTATTTGTACTACTATTATTTTCATTTAAGTAGTTTTAAATAACTTGTTTCTGTTATCTATTCTCTTTTTCTCTTTCATTTTAGACTAGTTCACAATTGTGTAAATAGATTATCATCTACCTTTAAATCTGTTACATAATCAATCATTAAAATGAAAGCTGATTCATCATATGTAGATCTTCTTTCCCCATGTCCTATTTATCCTAATCCAATGTTAGCATTTAGTTCAAATATACCAAATTCAGGAAATCTATTCTTATCTGATATCTATAAAGATTTAAAGCCATTGAATTGTAATGGAGTTACTATAACAACAACAACAACAACAACAACAGTAGCAACCACAGCAATAACAACCACAACAATACCAACACCAAATTGTACATCAATACTTGGTGAACTATCAACACCATCCACGTATACATCAAACTTTACTTCTATCTATTGTAAATCTTCGAATTCTTCTTTCATTTCACCAACGGTAACATCAGCAACATCAATAACCCTAAATGATACATCATCAACAATTATGACCAAGATTTTTGATTTGCTGGAAACTATTTGTCGATCTAAGCATCTATCGTTTGAAGAAAAGCTAAAAATTCTTATGAATATAGCTGAATATGTTATTAAATTTTATGAATATTTAACTAATTCAGATACTACTTATAACTTTTCAGTAAGTTTCATTTTGTATTGTTTATTAGAACCACAGTTAGTCCTGTAGGGATTGCCTTGATATTGCTTAAAGGTGACAAGTATTCTAAGCAGAGATGGATGGTGACTAGTAGTGGAATCCAGTTTGAAGCGCGTTTCGTTCTGTTTGAGACTCGTCAATTGGATGTACCTGCATCGCATAGTTGATGTTTACAGTAGGACTCGAATCCAGTACCTTTCACTTCAAACATCATCATGTTATCCACTTAGCTATTAAGTCCTGATAGCCAACAGCTTGTACAATGAGGTGAAGTTTAAATTCACTTAATATTGTTTTGCTTGAATCTTCCCATTGTTGTTTAGGACTACAGTTGGGCAGTCTCTTATTGGTACATGTATATCCTGTACAGATTGCCTCCATATTGCTTGAAGTGACAAGCGTTTTAAGCAAAGATGGACAGTGGCTACCACTGGAATCCAGTTTGACGCGCGTTTCATTCTATTTAGGACTGGTCAATTGGATGTACCTGCAACCCAGAGTTGATGTTCACTGTGAGACTCGAGCCTATTACTATTCGCTCCATTATATATTATTATTATTATCTTAACAGCTCGTAATAATGAATAGTTTTTTATAAGCAAGGCATAATAATATGTTTTTAAACAAAAAAAGAAACAATTCTACTGTGAATGAATTTTCTCATGGTGAATAAAACGTATTGATGATTTATAGAACCAACGTGGATCGTCAGTTAGCATCGTTTATGGTCAGAACTACGACAGTATCTGATCGTCTTCGAAACTCTGATTTTCTCTCCTGATCAATGAAAACATTCTTGGTAAATGCATTCACTGTAGTTTGTCTGGCGGCGATTCCAGAATTTTACCTATAATACAGCCATACAAATGTCCTCGCCTGTCCTTCTTAATCATTACTTCGGATACGAAAATCAACAAATTTGTTCAAAGTAAAGATGCCATCCGCTCCCGAAAACCGTTTAAATGAATCCGGAAGCATGCCGACAGGTCAACAAGGCAAACTCGTCAACTCACCAGCACCAGTTTAATACAGATAAGGCTGCACAGCTACTACATCGAGCTGATCACTGGTCCTGATCGTAACCAAAACCTTGAACAAGCAACTGCATGTCACCGCACAACCCAGACTCAACTACGAGCTTTAATGATTTATTAAGTGAATTTCAACTCAATAATCTATAACCATTTTAGAGTCCCCCTTTTTTGAATTCAATTAGATCAGATGATGACGTTATTGATTGGCACACCACTTTAGTGGCTCTAAATCTGAGTCCAATCAAATCATATGATGATTTGTTATTAAAACATACATTCTGGTTATCCTCATATATAATTATCGACTTAAATCACGTTGGAGAATGACGGAATCAAACAAGTCAAATAAGAGGATGAAGTTTGAATACGTATGTTTCGTACACTCATTCATCTGGACAGACACTCAGGGAAACTAAACAGAAAGCAGAGGGCATAACGAAAAGGATTGGAGAAGGCATATGAATCGACTGCATTTAAACAACAGTGAATCGATATTTATAGTCAAGCAAAAACAAGTTCAATAGGCCTCAACATACACAAAGGAAAAAGCAAGATTCTCAAATACAACATGGAGAACACTAACCCAGTCACACTTGATAGAGAAACTCTGGAAGAGGTGGAAACATTCACGTACCTATGAAGCATCATTGATGAGCAAGCAGGATCTAAAGCAGACGTAAAGGCAAGGATTGGCGAAGCAATGATCACATCCCTACAATTGAAAAACATATGGAACCCAAAACAACTGTCAACTAATTTCAAAGTGAGAATCTTCAAGACAGTCCTACTGTACGGAGCTGAAACGTGAAGAACAGCTACATTCATCGTCATGAAGGCACAACTATTTCTAAACAGTTATTTACGCAAAATACTCAACATTCACTGGCCGGATACTATCAGCAACAGCCTTCTGTGGGAGAGGACAAACCAGCTTCCAGCTGAAGAGGAAATTAGGAAAAGACGTTGAAAGTGGGTCACACATGTTTTGAGAAAATCACCAAACTTCATCACAAGGCAATCCCTAACTTGGAATCCTGAAAGGAAACGGAAAAGAGGAAGGTTAAGGAACACATCACGCCGGGAAACAGAAAGAGATATAAAAACGATGAATAACAACTGGAAAGAACTGGGAAGAATTTTCCAGGACAGGGTTAGATAGATAGCGCTGGTGTGAGGCCTATGCTCCTCTATGAGGGGTAATAGGCGTAAGTAAGTAAGTAAGTAAGTAAGTAAAAACAAGTTATAGACATATGATTAATAGGGTGAGTTATTAGCACACATACGACCATATAACATAATAGTCAGGAATTATAAGTGAATAAGCGGCAGGGTAAAAACGTGGCTTGAGAAGAATGAATAGATTGGTCTGTCTAGAGGCTAGAATAACCTATGCGGGTTTGATACAGTATCAGCTCCTATGTTATTTCCTTGTAAATTTGAAAGTTAATTCATTCGCTGTATTTATAACTTACATAAAAGGCAGTTTTTCATGGTATATTTTACCACACTCATCCTCCCTTTAAACAGTCGCTCTTGTGATTGTTGTGCTTGCCGTGCGACCCTCTTTTCTACAGTCTGTGTAACGCTCCATGTCCGCCAGCATTCCGATCTCCATAACAATGTCCACCTGCCTAGTCATCTAAAGTGGATGTCCGCCGAGCATCCATTCGTTTCACTGCCTCTTTTCATCGACAGCAACCACTACAGCCAACACCGATCAGCCAGTAAACTTTACTCGATGTCACTTCCCTGCACCAAATAGCGCCTCTTCCCGACCACAATACCACTTAGTTAATAATAAAAATAGAGCTGAGCACATAATAGCCTTATCGGTTCTCCATTGTAATCATTTAATATTTTTGTAAAACGAATAATGAGTTTTCTATACCTCATAGACAGACTGAAGTGGTTGTCTATAAATCATCACATTTTACCCTAATAACCTTACATACACTTACTTAATTTACAATTATATATTTGTAGCAAGATCATGAAACTCCATTGAATCTTACACAACCAAAAATGTTGAACAAAGAAACAAATATCAATACATCTCCTTCGTTTACTTCATCGGAATCTTCTTCATTCCTTTATCATTTCAATCAACAAAATTCTCCTGATCAATCAATTAAATCTTTAAAACAATCATTTCTATCATCAACATTAGATAGTAATCCTTCAACTAATTTAATCAATCAAATACCACAATCTATACCTTGGTTACCAAAATCAGATCCATTGTCAAATGGATTCATTTGTACTTCAAATGGTAATACTGATGTAACACTTTCTGAAAGTAATCATACTTCATCATTTAATTGGTTATCATCATTTTCAGATAGTAAAGAATTACCAAATTGGTTATTAGAACAGATTATATCAACTAATGAAAAGGTAAGTACATAAGGAAAGTAAGTTATTAGACGTTATAACTAGACGCTATATCACTGTTCAATCAATATCCTTTAGTTTCTGAAGTATGACTGTTAAATTGTAGAATCCTTAGACTGTAAATGAATATATCCCTATATTATCTTACATAATTCGGCATATATATACTAATTGTCAGAAGGGGGTTTTGTGAAGATTTTCGTAATTTAATGGTTGAATTCATGAATCAATTAAAGCTGGACCACCATGAAAAACCCGTAAGCGCTGGAAAGTCATTCCCTCATAATATGGGACTCATTCAGTGGCGCATACCAACGATCCCGCTCGCGGGACTCGAACCCGGTACTTCTTGGTCGCGCTTGCAAGCGCTTAACGTCTTGACCAATGAGCCGGCCGTAATCCAACGGTGTTAATGTTTAACTTCAACGAATTTATTTATTGGTCATATCCTCTAGATACCTGGTTGAATTACACTGCCAATGGATACTTTTTACTGACTATGCACATTCAGTAATAATTAAAATATGTAGGCTTGAAAAATACATCTTTCTACCAATAACTTATCGGAAGTAACAGCCGATTCTTTAGAATAATTCACTGCGTAAACCATATACACTTACTGTTATACAATTAAAGACAATCACTATAATTCCGATGTCTGTCTTTCTTTTAAAACATATACCTGTTCAGCTTGACACTGAGTCTAACCCACAAGGTAGTGGAACATCGTAAGGAGATGCAGTCACATGATAGACGGTCACCAACAATTGGTTCATACACATTTGTTTTCTCAGGATACTGGAGCCCATGTACACCATAGGTTTGGAATCAGGGTTTTCCAACTCCTCTAGGTTAACTCGCCGTGCCCACCAACCCGGTTAAAGCGCAGGCATTTGCTTTTCATCCTCTCAATTTCGTAAACAACACCCGTGATGCGAGAATGCAGTGAGTAGGACTTCCCTGACAGAGGCTATATACGCGTGGTTATGTGAGAGCATTTGAAGAGGGAGAACGGACTCTCTACACTCCTGACCGTACCAGGGCATTTAAGGACAGCACGCATCCACCATCCCGCTCGCAGGACTCCACAATCACCCTCCCCCAACATTCAGTTTTAATTTCCTCGTATAACTTGAATGATATTGAATATAACTTTTATCTTCCTCCATCATTTACCCTTAATTTATTACTTTAGATGAAAATTAATTCCATATCCCAATCAAATGATGTAATTACTGAGACAATGTTAAATTATTTAAAATTTTGTTATTCAAAATTTTCAACTCATGAAAGTCCATATGATCTTCATCATCTTCCTCTTCCTCCTCCTCCTCATCATCATCATCCTCATACTCATCAGAATCATCATCTATCTCAACAACAAATTCAATTAGAAAATGAATATTTAACCCAAATGAAAAAATTTATAAAATTATCTAATCAAGAATATACTACTAATAATAAACTACTTATTAACAATATTGATAATCATCAACTATTACGTAATGAGATTGATTCTATTGATAAGAAATCAATAATACAAAAATCATTAATATCAAATACAATTAATCAATTACATGAAATGATTGATCAAACAAAATTTATATTTAGCAAAGATCAAACAATACCGGTAACCATGACAACACAAACATCAGAAAATATGATATCTGATAATATTTCATTAAATGGTTCAATATTCAATAAGAATGATGGTGATAATCAGTCATTATCAACGTATTTATCATCATCAGCATCAGCATCAGCAGGAGCATCAGCAGCTGCAGCAGCGGCAGCAGCAGCGGTAGCAGCATCAGCAGTGTTAGGACTTTCATCATCTATGGAATATCAAGCTAATACTACTACTACTACTACTACTACTACTACTACTACTACTACTAATAGTAATAATAATTGTAGTTTTGTATCATTCAATGAAAAATTAAAGTCTATCTCCGAAACAAACAATAATCAATATGGTTTTCCTATACCATCTATTTATAATAATAATAATACTAATCATCCAGGGGATATCGTTTTAATGGATACTAACTTATCTACTATACAAACACCAATCAATAATATTACATCATTGGTTAGTAACCATTCAAAATTAATTGAAAAAGATGATCCTTTATTGAATGATGATCCTAATCATAATAATATATCATTATCTAATGGAATAACCTATCATCAATCAATATTTTATAATCCTACTATCAATACTACTAACAATGAACATGTTAGTAATAATGATCCATTTTATTTAACACAGAATTCAAATGAATTATGTAATCAACATAATACATCATTATTAAAGTTAACACATTATAATTTAACCAATATATCAGATCCTATTAATGTTAATTTAAATTTAATTAATACTGTTCTTCCTTCAAATGATCCAGATCATTATCCTCAACATCATCAAGATCACCAATATCCTAGAACTAATCCAAATACTACTACTACTACTAATACTAATACTACTAATATAAATGAAGATAATGATAGTATAAATGAAAATCATCAAATTTCTAATCATAAATTATCTATATCTACTACTTATAATGATATTGGTAATCATGAGAAAGCTTATCATTATTCAATAAATCAATATCCATTTACTAATCAATCAATAAAAAAGAAAAATCTAGAAAAATTAAAGAGATTAAAAACATCTTATTATCATCGAAATGAGAATATAGAAGGGGAAGAAGAACAAGAAGGAGAAGATGAAGAAGAAGAAGGAGAAGGAAATGAATTTGATTATGATATCTTACATAAGACTCAATCTATTCAACAATATCAAGTATGTAGGATATTGTTTATGTTATGGAGGATGAATCAAAGTCAATAACATAATCTTGTACCTCACTTAAACAATAGTTCTGTGATAGACATAGGTGGATAGTAGCTAGTAGTGAAATCTAGGATGAGCGTTTCGTCCTATTTGAGACTCGTCAGTTGAATGTACTTGTATCTCAGAGTTGATGTTCACTATTAGACTCGAACCCAGTACCGTTCATTTTAAACGCCATCATGTTATCCATTTAGCTACTGAATTCTGATAGCCACCAGCTTTTGCAGTGTGGTGAAGTTTAAATTCACTTGGTGTTGTTTACTTGAATCTTCCCATTGTTATTTAGGACTACAATTGATCAGTCTTTTATTAGCATATGTGTATCTTATGCAGATTGCCTCACAAGGTCAATTGATTGATATATATTACATGCCGCATTATTAACTCATTTATACCCTGAACGAAATCTTTGTCAACAGTTTAAAGTATAACACACCTACTTTAGGACTTAAGTTAGATACAAAAATTAGGACTTGTGTTTCGATGAGATGTATACATCGGATGTTTTGTTGATTAAGAGGAGGGTATCGTAACCAAATATCCTATTGATGAAATCAAGTTGATATCAAATATAACATCAAGGGGTTCTGTATACTAAGTAAATCTTATTACTCCGAAGTAATAAACGGTAATATAATTCCAGTAGCTCTGTTTAGTTTCAAAGTCCCTTGGTGTTCTTTACTTATATCTTCCCATTGTTGTTTAAGACTACAATTGGTCAGTCTCTTATTGGCATTTGTACATCCTGTGCAGATTGCCTCTATATTACCTTAAGTCATGTCCGGCGATAGCTCAGTTGGTAGAGCGGAGGACTGTCTTAAGTTGCAAGCATTATAAGATTGGATTGATAGTGGCTAGCAGTGGAATCCAGTTTGATCCGAGCTTTGTCCTATTTGAGACTCATCAATTGGATGTACCTGCATCTCAGAGTTGGTGTTCACTCTGAGTCTAGAACCTCTCTAAACTATTCATAGAATCCATTAAGTTTCTTTCACTAACGAAGAATAGTAGTATACTTAACTGGATTATCCTGAAAGAAGATGATTATTTGATTTCCACTAGGCTAGAAAAGTCACTGATTGAAAATAAGTCAAAATGTATATGATGAAAATAACATCCAATTGATCAAGGATCCAAGTACTTCATATGAATCCGAAGTCTCTTCCCCATAATGATCATAACTGAGAACTTTGAATATAGAATAAGTTCATTGTTCAGTAGATTACCACTTTCATGGCTGTTTAATTGGTAGTAGTTTACATTGACCATCATCTTTAAGTCAATCACTATCTATAACCATGTTAAACATAATTAGTATACATTCTGAAAGACAAAGTTTATCTTGTTAGAAGGTGCATCGACCTCATAACTTCCGAAGGAATTCGACTTTCATCATGAGACGTCATAATTATTCCTTCAACTCTCAGGGCAGAGTTTAAATGGTTTGAATAATTTTTTTCTGGTTAGCATGTTTTTTAGCGAGTTGGTTTTCTACCCCATGCTCAACCTTCCTTTTTTACCCGGGCTTGGGACCGGCAGTAACCCCCGGAGGAGCTACAAGCGGAGTTATAAAGTTTATCTAACTTGACATTATTATTCCATTCTTCCTATATATAATATTCACTTTATTACTTTATTGTAGACACAAATGAAATCCCAACGTACAACTAAATCAAATCTTGATCAACGTAATGATAAATCTTCATCTCATATTAAACGACCAATGAATGCTTTCATGATATGGGCAAGAGATGAAAGGAGAAAAATTTTAAAAGTGAGTATACCTATTTAATTTGCTTAGTATTGTTTGTTTGAATACTTCCCATTGATGTTTTAGGACTGCAACTGGTCAGTCTCTAATTGACATATGTGCATACTGTGCGTATTGCCTTGATATAGCCTAAATTCATAAGCATTGTAAGCAAAGATGGATAGTGGCTAACAGTGGAATACAGTTAGAAGCGGGTTTTGTCGTATTTGGGATCCGTCAGGTGCATGTACCTACATCTGTGAGTTGATGTTCACTTAGGGACTTAACCTCAGTACCGGTCGCTTCAAACGCCATCGCGTTATCCAATCGGTCACTGAGTATACTTATTATCTATTAATAATGGTAATAGTATAAATATTGGTTTATAATCAAATAAAAGAAATGTGAAATCTGTATCATTTCTTTTAATGTATGGGCGTGACTATAATTTATGGACAAACCAATCAGATTGAGATCGATGTCAGGCAATTTTACTTACTCTGACCCTTTCTCTTTCTCCTGATGATCGACTGGATCATGAAGACTTCAACATCTGGAGGGAAGTAGGTGATAGAATGGATAGCTAGAATGCAGTTGGACGATTTAGACTTTGCAGATGATCTGGCTCTCCTATCACACACGCAACAACAAATGAAAGAGAAGACAACCAGTGTAGTAGCAGCCTCAGCAGCGGTAGGTCTCAATATAAACAAAGGGAAAAGCAAGATTCTCCGAAACAATACAGCATGCACCCATCGAATTACACATGACGGAGAAACTCTGGAGAATGTGAAAACCTTTACATATCTGGACAGCATCATTGATGAACACAGTGAATCTGATGCAGATATGAAGGCGCGGGTCAGCAGTATATTTACAACTGAAGAACATCTGGAACTGAGTAAAGATGACTCCATGATTTTGCTACAAAGATAAGAATAATCGGATAATCAACCATAATTTATTAGATACATATACCAACTTTTGAAATATTAAGTATGATCTAACAACTTATGATATTTAAATAGTTGAATTCATGAATCGATTAAAGCTGAATCACTATGAAAAGCCTGGAAGTACTGGACAATCGTTTCATCCTAGTATGAGACTCTTCAAGAGTGTACATTTACGATTCCGCTCACAGGATTCGAACCCATAACCTCTAATCTTGAATGCAAACGTTCAACTTCCAGGAGCTGGCCGGAATACAATAGTGTTTATGTCTAACTTCAACCAACTCAACTTTAGAAGTGAACTAAATCACTCTGTAAAGTATTTAAATCCTATATTGAAAAGAAATGATACATGAACATACTTACTTATGCCTGTTACCCCTCGTCGAGGAGCATAGGCCACTTACCAACATTCTCCATCCAACTTTGTCCTGGGCAATCCTTTCCAGTTCCTTCCAGTTTTATTTATTCATTTCATATCAGCTTCTATTTCCCGAAGTAATGTGTTCTTTGACCTTCTTCTTTTTCATTTCCCTTACGAATTCTAAGTTATGAATTGCCTTGTAATACACATTTCAATGTCTTTTCCTAATCTCATCTCCAGCTGGAAGCTGGACATCAAATCTGTATTGTATTATATCTTAATTTATTATTGTTTAGTAAATATTTGATTAGAGTAAACATTAAAACTTGACATAAATCAAAGAGATAAATATCAGTATAAGCATTTGTCAATCAATTATTATAATAAACAATAACAAGTGTAAACATTCTAAATAAAGTCCTTTTAACGAGGGGGGGGGAGAGGGTAGGGGGTAGGGGGTAGGGGGGGGAGAGATCAAAATGTATTTGACATTTTGTATCATAGTAACTATATGTAATATAAATATACATGTCATTAATAAGTAAATTAGTAGTAGTTCTAGTAAGTTGTATCTTACAATTTGCCTGGTCAAATGATTTATGACACAATGAATAGGTAATTTCTTATTATGTATATAAATGATATCAAACAAAAGATGGTTACATTATTCTTAAATATGAAATGATCATTAGGATAGTATGGTATATGTATGGTTAATTTTGTATATGTACAAAAATGAGACTATATTAAAGAAAAATTGGTTTTAATTAACGGGATAAATTATTTGAACATATAAAGATTGGTACAAAGGAGTATCAAGTACATATACAGCATATAAATCATTCGATTTGTGTGAGGGTTGAAGATATGGCTTGGGTACCCAAACCGAAGTAGATGGTTTTCTTAGGGGACCAAACCCTTAACCTTTAACATGAAAGTCTGTTCCATAAAACAGTGAAGCAAAGTAAGAAGATACAGTTCCATGCTAGCTGGTCACCAACAATAGGTTCATGTACCATTTGTTTCCTTAGGATACTGGAGACCATGTGTACCATTGGTTTGGAATCAGGTTAAATAGCCAGATATTCACTTTTCGTCTTTTCAATATCGTATGCAACATCATTGCCGCGAGACGATAGTGAGAAGAACTTCGGTGCCAGTGGCTGTATATACGTGGTCATGTGAGAGCATTTGGAGGCCTTTACAGTTATATAACATACATTTTATGGGCTAAGATAATTTTACATTGATTTTCAGGAGAAAGGGACATCATCCAGACTTTCATGTGACAAACTGAACAGTACAGTTTAATCCCGTTTAACAGAAAAGCCAGATACCGCCCGAGATTAACATTCATTAGTACAGCTCAATTCCATTTATCTTAGAAGAATATTGAACCTTTTCCAATTGGATAGTTGGATAGTTACAAAAACTTGGAATTTATAACTACACTGAAAAATAAAAACTCTTAAAGTATCATGATAAAACGATGTAATGAAGTGTTGACTATGAAACTTTTAAACTAAAACTTGTTAATTAATGTCTAGCACAAAAGTAAATTGAAACAAGATTAGTGGCTCACAAATCAAAATACACCATCAGTTCATGGTGTTGTTGTTAAACTGAAAAGTATCCTGTGGTCAAGACTTTTTAGTTAAGCTTCGTGAGATGATTAGTACTTGTAGTTAGAAACTATATCGCCCCCTTAAGTTATTTATTTATTTAAACACATAAATATTGGTACAAACAGGCACGAGATATATATGCGCCACACAAATCTCATTTGATTTGTGTGAGGGCTGTGATACTACCCGGGTGCCCAAACCGAAGCAGGTGGTTTTCTTAGGGGACCACACCCAGAGCCTTTGACCTAAAGGTCTGACCCACAAGGCACTGGAGCATCGTGAGGAGATGCAGTCTCATGGTAGCCGGTGACCAACGATTGATTCATACACCATTTGTTCCCTCAGGATACTGGAGCTCATGTACACCATTGGTTTAGAATCACGGTTTTCCAACTCCCCTAGGTGCTATTTCCGTGTCCACCAACCCGGTTAAAGTGGCGGACATTCATCCTTTCAATTTCATAAACAACACCTGTGGCACGAGAAGGCAATAAGTAGGAATTCCCTGGGAGAAGTCATATATGCGTGGCCATGTGAGAGCATTTCGAGAGGGAGAGCGGACTCTCCTCACTTTCGGCCGTACCAGGGAATTTGGAGGCCTTTAAGTTATAGCATAATCTTATTTTACAAATCTTACTCCTAGATTTCATTAGTTTGAATTTTCATGTTATTGATATTGAGGATTGCAACTGATTAGTCTCTATAAGCATATGTGCATAATGTGGGATTGCTTTGATATAGTGTCGATACAATTGTTAATATATTTTTTATCTGGTTATTCATCATATCCAAAAATCCTAATCCTTTCTCTTTTGAATTGGTCAGATGAATATACCTCTATCTTAGTTTTGACGTTCAAATGAGACTTACATCCATAAGGCAATACCTTGAAAATTCATAGTGTCACATAATCATTCATTTGTCTATATCATTCATACACGTATAATCATATATCATTGAGTGCTAATGTTTACATTCAATTAAACTAAATGATTCAAATGATTAGTCAATTGAAGTTAAACCACCATGGGAAATCTGGAAGCACTGGAAGGTTGTTTTGTCCTATTGTGGGACTCCTCAGTGGTAGTGCGCATCCACGATCCCGCCCCACGAGATTTCAACACAAGACCTATCAGTCTCGAACACGAGCGCTTTACCTCTAGACCACTGATCCGTACGGAATCCAACGGTGTTGATGCTTAACTTCAACCAATTCACGAAATTGAGCAACCATCCACCATTATCTTCAGTGAGTTACTATCTCACAACAGATCCAATTGAACTCCACTGGTCACTATTTCTCACAAATCACAATGAATAAAAGAATATAGTTTTTACCTTTTCAAACAAAAGCTAAAACTTTCAGTTGTCTCCATTTTCTTCTTTTTTCATTTCTATCGCTTCTTCTTCTTCTTCTTCTTCTTCTTCTTCTTCTTCTCCCGAACTTTATTTACTTTTAAACAATCTCTTTTTTTCCTTTTTGATATTCTATGAACAGTCGTTAAAATAGCTCATTAATTATCAATTCAAGATAATCACAACAACAATAGTGTGTATGTGTGTGTGTGTTTTCTTCTTCTTCTTCTTCCTCCTCCTCCCCCTCCTCTTCTTCTTCTTCTTCTTCTTCTTCTCATGTTAGACCCCTAATTGACTTGGTAAACAATCACCATCACCATCATCATCATTATAATAGTAAACATACAGTACCATTATTATTTTTTATTTTTTTGAAATTGACATCTACCATAGAATCTAGGGTAATGTAGTAGTAAATGTAAACTATGATTATCCTATTTTATTGTATTTGATTACATGTTTTTGTTTATTTTTGTTTTTTTTCGTCTCATCTAATATCTCTTCAATGGATAAAGTAAATACCCTTAATGGTTACATGGTTGTTTCCTCCTCTTCTTCTTCTTCTTCTTCTTCTTGTTGCACTCAGTAACCCGAAAAAGGAAGAAGATGATGAAGGAAAACTCGACGGGATTATGTTACATAGAAATAATAAACAGCATGAATCAGTTGTAATAAATAATCATAATCATAATAATAAATTAACAATAGGTCACCGATTATGTATTTAACCTTGATTGAATTGGATACAAACTTATCCTCGTCCTCCTCCTACCCCTTACCCCCTCTTCTTCTTCTTCTTCTTCTTCTTGTGTCTATTAAATTTGACCTTTACACAGATATATATATATTTTTTATATATTTTGGTATTTTTTGTTTTGATTTTCTCTATTTACTTTTGTACTAATGATAATAAACAGGCTAACGAGAGAAAGAGAGAGAGGGGGGGGAAGAGAAGGGATAGGGGGGAGGGAAAGATTGATAAATTCAAATATATTATTATTGTTTTGATTAATTGAGGTGAAAAATATCTGACTAGTTCCAATAGTTATCTCTTATTAGAAAAAAACAACAACGAAACAAACAATGTCATTGAATAATTATGTAATGTAATGGACAGCTGTTTTGTTTTTGTACTTTTGTACCCCCCTTATGTATATATATAACAAACTAAATTACCGGTTAAGTGAAAGTAACTAACATAGCACTAAATGCTTATACCTTAAAGCTTAAAACCTTAAACGTTAACTTAATTTCAAAAGAACTACTATAACTACAACCCAGGACTGATAGGTTCTGGGTTGGAATCCCTAGCGAGGCGGGATCATGGATGCGCACTGTCACTGAGGAGTCCCACAATAGGACGAAACAGCCGTCCGGTGTTTCCAAGTTTTCCATGATGGTCTAGCTTCAATTGACTCATGATCTTAACTATATAAAATTATTAAAATCTCCACAAAACCCCTTTGTGATAATGATCATATGCTCACTAGTGACTGGCTCAATGAGGTAATTCCTGGAGTTCTAGTGAGAAGTCGTGACCAGTGGAGCTAATCCATGTCACATAGAGACAGGTATCTACCTCAGTACAATAGAAGTTGGTCGCGTAATTTCATGGATTGGTTGAGGTTAGACATTAACACCGCTGGATGCCGGCCAGCTCAGTGGTCTATCGGTTAAGTGCTTTGGGGAGAGACTGGTAGGTCCTGGGTTCGAATCTCGTGAGGCGGAATCGTGGATGCACAAGAGGACGAAACGGCCGTCCAGGGATTCCAGGTTTTCGATTGTGGTCTAGCTTCAATTGACTCATGATCTTAACTATATAAAATTACTAAAATCTCCATAAAACCCCCCTTGTGATAATTCAATACTCTTGTATAGTTAACAAGTATTAAGATTGTGTTTACTACTGATCAAGTAAATGAGGTATACTACTCATAGGTATGATAGTTTTTCAACGAGAATAAGTTAAAGCTTTCTTTCTTAATTCAATCTTCTTTTCTCCTTATTTAAAATAGGCATGCCCTGATATGCACAATAGTAGTATATCGAAATTTCTTGGAGCTAAATGGAAATCTATGAGTGCTGAAGTTAAACAACCATATTATGAAGAACAAGCTAGATTAAGTCGTCAACATATGGAAGAACATCCAGCTTATCGTTATAGACCACGTCCAAAACGTACATGTATTGTAGATGGTAGAAAATTACGTATATCTGAATATAAAGAATTAATGCGTTCAAGAGGAGATTCCACACGTAGACAATGGATTAGTTCAACAGATGAACAAGCTCAAAAAATTGTGGAAGATATTTTAGGTAAGTGTATATTTCAAAGTGAATATTAAACTTAAAGAGAAATACCATTGTAATGAACCAGAACACAGATGAGGACAACCGATGATGCTTAGCACCAAATTACATGATAAAATAGAAAGATCATACTCCTATACATCGTTTGCAAAATGGTCATTAATTGTTCTGGACTTTATTATTCCTTTATTTCCATACTAATCATTCTCTGTTTTGTCCTTTCCTCCTCGATTTTGTCAATCTTCTACTGCCAGGTATTCTATTACTGGTTAGCGTTATATGCTACCTAGGTCGACATAAGTAGCAGGCTTCCATTGATGTTTAGGACTGCAACTGGTCAGACTCTTATTGGCCATATGTGCATACTATGTGTATCGACTCGATATTGCCTTAATTCACAAGCATTATAAGCAAATGGCTAATAGAACTCAGTAGCTAAGTGGATAACGCAATGGCGTTTAAAGTGAAAGGTATTGGGTTCGAGTCCAAGAGTGAACATCAACTCTGAGATACAAGTAAATCCAGCTGACGAATCCCAAATAGGACGAAGTGACGTGCGTCAAGCTGTATTCCACTGCTAGCCACTATCCATCTTTACTTATAAAGTATTGCATTTAGTTTAACACATATTCTTAATGTCGTTTACTCCCGAGGATGTTTGCTAATGAAATTTCATAACCAACATTTTATTTCATTTATAAGTCATCATTTGAATGTTTATAGTTCTCATTATAAATCAATGTTTGATGATATGATAATAAATAAAATCAAATGATCTAATAAAAGTAGGGGATAAGCATCCACCATCCTCTATTGTCAGACACATAGCTGAAACAGGTCATAAGATTGATCTTAACTCGGCTTTTGTGGTGTTGTGACAAGTGTAAAAGGGCTTATACTAAGGTTTATTGAAGCCTTGGCCATACGGAAATTCAAACCCCCTTTGTGCATTCGTGAATTGGTTGAAGTTAGACATTAACACTACTGAATGCCGGCCAACTAAGAGGTCTAGAAGTTAAGTGTTCATGCTCAAGATCGAAGGTCATGGGGTCGAATCCCAAGAGCGGGATCGTGGGTGCACACAACTGAGACGTCTCATACTAGGATAAAACGGCCTTCCAATGCTTCTGGACTTTCCAAAGTGGTCTAGCTTCAATTGACTATTGAATTCAACAATGAAATCACTGCTCTTTTGACATTTATCAAATGGACTAATTGATTCCGATATCGGACGAGAACCGGTGCTTTCAACGTGAAATGGTCACCGGCCATTGATTCCGATATGATCTCAGTTTATTATCAAACCATTCGATTTGAATATCTGATTCAAGTAATCAAAATTTAACCAATAACAAATATTCATCCTTTGATTGTTATTGCTAAATAAAGTGAACTAGTCAAGTGTATTCAAGTAATATTATTGACTACACACCATAATATGACATAATTCTGGACTAGTTCAATGTAATCATGTCTATCCTTCTTGATGAGTGTTAAAAAGTGGAAAACTATGTTGGAATACCTTCGAAATTGACCCCTTCTTAGTTTACTTAACAATATTATTACCAGAAGGGGTTTTGTGGAGATTTAGTATTTTCAAAGTTGAAAGTGTGAGTCAATTGAAGCTAGATCACCATGGAAAGCCTGGAAGCACTGGACGGGATAGTGGATTCGCACTGACACTGAGGAGTCCCGTAATGGGACGAAACGACAGTCAACTATGAAAATATTACTACCATTGTCCAAAAAGTTTCTCGACATACTCAATATATATGCAACAAGTATTTGATGATTTATACTTTGAAGAGTCACTTCAATATGATCGTTTCGGATAACAAACTGAGATCATAACGGAATCAATTACTCCATTTGATAAATGTCAAAAATGCAGTGATTTCATTGTTGAATTCATGAGTCAATTAAAGCTAGACCACTTTGCAAAATCCAGAAGCACTGGAAAGCCTTTCTGTCCTAGTATGGGACGTATCAGTTTTGTGCACCCACGATCCAGCTCTTGGGATTCGACCCCAGGACCTTTCGATGTCGCGCATGAACGCTTAACTTCTAGACAAGTTTGCTGGCCGGCACACAACAGTGTTAATTTGTAACTTCAACCAATCAATATGATCGTTTCGAGGGTTTGAATGAGCTAATCAAACTGGTTCTTCAAATAAATTAGATCTTTTTGAACTTTGAACATTGAATGGTATCTAATCATTGAATCAATAAATTTTGATCTGAAGAGATGACATTACATAATTTATCAAAAGATACTATTAGCCATGGAACTAATCTATTGAGAATCACTTGAATTTAAAATTTTACTAACATTATGCTCTGCCATAGGTCCAAGGCACTCGATCACTATGGTATGTTACTGACTGAGTGATTGAATACATACTTACTAAGTGACCTGAAAGCTGTCTTCTCAATACTGGGGATGTAGTGAATGGGAGTAATCAAATGTGTTTGAACACAAAATTACAGAAACTGTTAGTGAAATCTGAGATTCACAGATATATAATATACCCTTGTGGGCCCAGATAATGTTACATCGGTTTTCAGGAGAACCGGACATTAACCATACTTTCACGTGACATACTAAACAGTATAGCTCAATCCCATTTCGTAGGAGAGTCAGACACTACCCAGGCTTAAAATTTATAACTCGAATAGTACGACTCAATCCATCTAAAGTAAATACTTCATTTGCAAAATGTCAATCAATTGTCTCAGACTTCATTGTTCTTTCATTTCCAAAGCATCGATTCTCTGTTCTCATTCTTATTTTTCGATCTTCTTAACGTTCATTTATTTTATTTATTTAAACACATAAATATTGGTACAAACAGGCACGAGATATATATGCGCCACACAAATCTCATTTGATTTGTGTGAGGGCTGTGATACTACCCGGGTGCCCAAACCGAAGCAGGTGGTTTTCTTAGGGGACCACACCCAGAGCCTTTGACCTAAAGGTCTGACCCACAAGGCACTGGAGCATCGTGAGGAGATGCAGTCTCATGGTAGCCGGTGACCAACGATTGATTCATACACCATTTGTTCCCTCAGGATACTGGAGCTCATGTACACCATTGGTTTAGAATCACGGTTTTCCAACTCCCCTAGGTGCTATTTCCGTGTCCACCAACCCGGTTAAAGTGGCGGACATTCATCCTTTCAATTTCATAAACAACACCTGTGGCACGAGAAGGCAATAAGTAGGAATTCCCTGGGAGAAGTCATATATGCGTGGCCATGTGAGAGCATTTCGAGAGGGAGAGCGGACTCTCCTCACTTTCGGCCAAACCAGGGTATTCGGGGACTATAACGTTCTGCTGCAAAGGATTTTACTTTCGATTGATGATACATGCTACTTATATCTATCAACATCAATAGCACACACTACAGGAGTAGTTGACAGTGTACAGTACTGAATTGTATTATTTAATTAATAATAATGACTTTATTCAACATTATATGCTTAGTACAATATGGAATTCTTAGAACAAAGTATGTAAACAAGTCTCTTCATCTTGTTGTGCTAACGAGTTATGGTAACTTGGACCGATGCAATAAATGTGCCTGGTCCTACGTTGTAGTTGACTGACTGACTCTTCCACAGAAAATCGATAACCGAACACATATTTCGATGAAATAAGTATATAAATTATCTGGATTGAAATGAAGTGAAATAAAGATCTATACAACTTTTAATTTGCAACATGTTATAGAATATAAGTTTTTGATTAGGTCAGGTCAACACAACCTGTCCCGTTGATTAGTATATTTCACTAGATACGGTATTGTAGAACTTTTATACATTTGCTTGCCTGCATTGATTCTATTGTATTGATGCCTCGTTCTATTAGACGATATATAATGTGAAAGATATGAATGAAGTAGATAGTTAGTATTTGATAAGATAACACTTGTGTCAGGAATTTGCAAGATTTTAAATGTTTATCCACAACCATATTGATAATTACTTCAAAAGATTCACCGAATCCCTGTTAATTGATTACAGAACTCTCTATAGTCAGTCAGTCAGTCAGTCACAACGTAGAACTTCGTACGTACGTACGTACATCTGTTCGAGTTGCCATATTACATTAGCACAGAGATACAGTTGTCCATTGAAATCTCATAATGGTAGAAGTAGTAAGAGTTTAAGCAGCAATGTGAAAGATTAGGGTTTGAAGATGTTATTTAAGGAGTATAATCCAATAAAATAAATTTGGAGAGAGAAAAAAAGATAGAGACATGAAGAATTCAGAAGATTATAATTTGGCAGAACACAAATAGTCGATGCACCTTCGCCTCTCCATAACACATCAAAAACCTTATCTCAGAGGCCCATAAAAGAATAAGAGATAGTATTATAGTGAACAGAACACTGGCTAAGGACAATCGAATGTATTTAATCAAGAATCACAGACTATCTCAGTAAATTCTGAAAACCATACAATGGACAGTTAATTTGCAAATTAACAACCAATAGTCTCGATCTTCACTTTTTCTTCTCTAATTCCATTGTTCGTGCATTTTCCTACCGATCGCGCTTCCTTTCAGTTCTTTCCTCATCGGTCTTCTGCAAAAATACATTCTATGTCTGATCAACACCATATACTACTTATATGGATATAATTAGACCACACCACTGTATATATGAGTTTACAAATCGTGAAAGTAAACGTCGAGCGATTTCAGCACCATGTAATAGTCTGAAAATACTGTGTCAGATATTTGAAATTTATAGACAGGGATCACTGTACACAATTTGTCTATTATCAGGTATTTCCTGGAGTTCTAATGAGAAGCAGTGACCAGTGGAGATCAATCAGGTCTGGTGTGAGATAGCAACTCACTGAAGACATTAATGGATGTATCGCTCAATTATGTGGATCAGTTGAAGTTAGACATTAACACCGTTGGATTCCGGCCGATCCAGTGGTCTAATGGTTAAGCGCTCACGCGCGAAATCGATAGGTCCTGTGTTCGAATCT